GGCCTTTTTTTTTTTGGCTTATGAAAAAAAATTTTTTTGGGAATTTCTTTAAATTTTTACAAATTTAGTTTTTAAGCCCCCTTCCTCCCTTTTCCCCCGGTTTCCCTTAAGAGTCTTTTTGCTTAATTTTCCGATTAGTTTCCCTTCCCGGGAAAGGCGCCCCCTTTTCCCGTGAAATCAAAATATTTTTGCACCCCTGGGACCCCCGTGACCTTCGTCGTTTTTTCAAAAAGAGGGAGCGTTTTTTTTCCTCTCCAGTTTACCCCTGTTTCTTTTTTTCTTTCTTGGGGAATTTTCCCTGGGAACATGCTTCGGTTCCCAGGAAGTTGATCCCTTTTAAAGGGCCCACTGGTTTGGGCCCCTTTGTCATTTAAGACTATATTTTCCCAAAATTTTTTTCGTTTAGGACTTTTTTTTAAACCTGGCCCCAGTTGAGGGTTCTTTTTGTTAAAAATTGTTTTTTTTTTAAAGGGCCCCTTTTCCCCGGGTACATGCATTCTGTTTTCGGGCCCCCTTTATGCATTTAATTTTGGGCCCCCGAAAAATTTTTGGTGACTAAATTATTGTTTTTGTTTTTCTTATGTCTTTAATCAGGCCCTCTTTATTTGTTAAAGGATAAGGCCCAAGTGTGTTTTTTTCAAATTTCCTTTGTTGGCCCTATACCTCGGGTTTAAAGTTGTTTTTCGCAGGACTTAGTAAACCCATGTGTGTTTAAACCCTTTCATCCCTACCTCCGGGGATTGTTTTGTAACATTATTTCTACATTTTTTCCATTTTGTTTTCCCTTGGGTTTTTTAAATTCACCAAGCGTAAGATTTTTTTGGGGATGGGAGTTTGGAAGGTTTTCCAAACGAAAATCATTTTCATACCCTTTCCCTTAAAATTTTGGGGGGAGGTTGCTTTGGGGGCCCTTGTTACAACCACAATAAATGGGTTTTTGGTTCTCGTTTTTTTATTGATAGAACTTCAACCCCATTTGTGGTGTTCAGAAACCCCTCCGTGCGAAAAGGGGGCCTTCTTTGACTTTACGGGGCCAACCCCCCCTTGTTGCCTTTTTTTTTTTTTTGTCGAAACAAAAAAAAGGTTGTAACCACTTATCCATTTTTTTCATGCCCAAAATTGATCTTTTTGTGAGTCTCTGTGAAGGTTTGCAAACATTCCCTTAAAACCCACTAAAGCCCCACTGATAAAAGGTATTTTGTTTTTTGGGGGAAAGGCTTAAGGCCCCGGGTTTTTAAAAAGCAAATTTTAAGAGGTTGTTTTCTGTGTTTGTTGGGGGGTTTTTGTTTTTTGGGCCCACCCTTTAATTTGAAATTTCCCTTGGGGGGCCAAATGGGTGGCCACTTGGCGCGCCTCCAGTCCAACAAGGCCCCAAGGGTTTGGGGGAAACCTATTTTTGTTTTTTTCCTTCCCTTTTTTTCCTTTTTTTCTTTTCCCTGCCACTAAAAATCACCTGGATTTTGGGGTTGTCGTAGTACATTTTTTGTCCTGTGGGGTCTGTGCCTCCGGGGCCCCTTTTAAAGGAGGGTTTTCGGGGAAATTTCGTTTGTTGTAACCTCCCTTCGGGAGGACCGGGAGGGGCCCATTTTTGGGTAAAAAGAAAGTACGGGAAAGGGAAGAGCGACAAAACCCCCTTTAGACAGGGGGGGGTCGTTTACTTTTTTTTTGGGATGGTCAAAGTTGCATGCCCCAAAATTTTTTTCCCCCCCTGTTATTCCATGCTTACAGATGCCCCAAGCAAAAAATTTTTTGCAAAAATTTCCCATTTTGTTTTTGAAAAATTGGGTTTTGGGAGGTGTTTTGTAAATTTTCCCTTGAAAGGTTCGGGAGGGCCATAAAATCCCCATATCCAAGCCACCCCCCCCGCCCTGGATTTCCCAAACAAAACTTTCCCCAGTAGGGGAAAGGGGAGACCCCTCCCCCCAACTCTTTTACGGGGGCCCACGGTTTGTCCCAATGAGGGTTTTTGAAAAATATTTACTTTTTTTTGTGGGGTTTTGGGGGTAGGGTTTCCCCTGGGGCGGCCCCGGGGCGGGAAAGAAAGGGGGGTGGGGGCTATGTTTTGGGTCAGCACGGGGGTGGGGGGTGGGTCGGGCCCCCGCATTTTGGGCTGGGGGGGGGGGGCGGGGGGCTTTTGACTGTGAGGGTTTTGCAGAAGAGTCTACCCCCAAAAGGAGGGGCTCCTCTCTACATCGGGAACAGGGGAAAAAAGGGCATTGGAAAAGCTGTAGGGCCCCAAAAAATTTGAACCCCCAAAAATTTTCACAATGGCTGGGGGCTGGGTCTGGGCCCACCCTAAGGCTGGGCACTAAAACAAGCTTTTTTTGTTTTTTTTTTTCCCGGGTTTTTTTTTCTAGTGTGTACTGCTTTATTTTTGGGTCGTTGTTGTAGACTTTGGGTTTTCTCTGGGGTTAGCCCCTTTACTCCTTTTCCAAATTTTTCCCTGCTCAAATTATTTCCAGGTAGAACTATTAAAATATTTTCCTCCTTTTTTCCCCGTTTTTTATTTTTATTAACCCCCCTGAGTGTTTTTCCCTGATTTTTAAATCCATATTTTCCAAAAACCCTTTTTTGCGTTTCCAAAAAACACCTTTTCCTAGATAGAGGGCCCAATTTTTTTTTTTTTGCAGTGTTTTATTCTTGCAACAGGAAACTTTTGATTTAAAAGAAAGGTTGCATGTGATTCAAAAATTTTTTCCCCCCAAAGACCTTTCCACAGGGCCCAAACAGGTATACTGAAAACTGCCACCCCTGCCTGAAACCCCTTTTTGAAACGGAAAAACCCAAGAGCTTTTTTTCCCTTTTTCCCTTTTTCAGTTGAAACGCAGGTGGGGGGTTTGAAAAATTTAAAATTACGGGGAAATGTGGGGGGTTAAAATTGGGGGGAGACAAATTACCCTTTAAAAATTTTTTTATGTTGAAATAACATCAAAAATCTTTAACCCCTACACCCATCTGTTTCCCCTGCATGATAATGCTGTATATTTTGCCCCGGCAGTTTTAGGGTTGTGGTGGGGGCCCGGGGTTTTTTCCGGTGATAAAAATTTTTAGGTGGGGTTGGTCAGGAGTTTTTGGGGTTTTATTGGGTGCCAAAGGGGGGGGTGGGGGCCCCACCCCTTTAAATGGTTGGGGTGTCGGGGGGGGGAAAGGGGGTGGGGGAAGGGATTTGGTTGGGGGTTTTTACCCTTTTTTTCCCCAACTACCCACCCACTGATGTTCACTTTTTCCCCTTTCCAACACCCAATAAACTATCTCTTATTTTTATTTTTTTTTCTATTTTGGTTTAATACTTACCCCATTTTTGTATCCCCCCCGCCCCACTTTTGCTTGGTTTGGTAAAAAAGGGGGCCCAGGGGTTGGTTCCCACAGGGAGGGAAAAAACCCCCCGCGGGTTTGGGGTAAAAAGGGGCGGGGGGAGGGTGGGGGGGAAATCAGGGGGGTTAAACCTTTAAACCCTTGAGCAGTTGTTCCCATAAAAATTACCCCATAGCTTACACTAGCCCGGGTTTTAAAAAGGGATTCCCTCTTAAACCAAAATTTCGGGTACACTATATCATTTGCAAAAATCAAATCCTTTTTCCTCTTTTTAAAAAACACCTTACGATATTTTTAAAATTTCTCTTTTCGCCTCTGGAAATTTAATTTTCCTGGTGAGTGGTCAACCCATATAATTTTCCCCATAAAATTCCCCCACCTATTTATTGGGAAATTTAACGGCCCCCCCGAAAGCTAAATTTTTTCCCAATTTATGAAAGTTTTGTTTCCCCTGCCCCCTCAATGCTACCACCCTCGTTTCATATCTTTTTTAAATTTATAGGGGTTACTTTACCCTTTAATTAACATTTTCCATTTGGAAACCCCTCGGGGCAATAGTTCGCTAGTCCCAAGTCGCTTGAAAGGGAAAATTCCCCTTTCTACACTATTTTTGTAGGGGTTTAACGGTTTTTGCACCCCAAAATTTATTTATGGTTGTTTTCCCGCACCTAAAATGCTATCACATCTGTTTCATTTTCTTATGACTTTTGTATTTAAACTTTACCGGTTATTAACACTTCAGGGGCCCTTTGGGGAAATTTATTTTCGCTAGTGCCAGTCGCTTGTAAAAAAATTTTCCCCCTTTTCCCAAACACTATATATTGTAACCTTTTACTTGGGGATAATTTGGATTACTCTTATCTAAAAATTTTAATTTTCACTTTTCCCACTGCAAAAAAATTTTTACCCTTGCCCAACTCACTTTTTTATTTAAAGATAGATAAAATGGGGAAATTTTTTCCCGTTTTTTTCCACTTGTGCCCGAAAACCCGGCAAATTCACTAGTGCTGGTAAACCCCTTTTTCCCCCAGGGAAAACCTTTTTCTCCCCCCGCACCCCCCCCCTCTATTTGACACTATAATCACTTTTTTCCTTTTTAAACGTTCACTGTTTATCCTTTTTTGTTTGTTCAAAGGAAAAAAAATTTGCATTTTAGGGGTTGAAACACGCTTATTTTTCCCGGGAAATTCCCTTTTTCCTTAAATTTGCCTCAAGACACCAGTTTTTGGGGGGGACCCAAAAAACGTGCGGACTGCCCCCTCTGCGACATGGCGACAGGGGGTGAAATGGGTAAAAAAGGAAAAAAACTGGATAGAATTTGAAATCTTTTAAATTAAAAATTTTCTTACATTGGTCCCTTTTTTCAGAGAAAAATCACTTGAAATTTAAATTTTTACTGTACTTCTTCAAAAAACCTCAAAAAAAACAAACTTCAATCGTAACCCCAGAAACAATGACCCTAAAAAATTTTAGAAAAAGTAATAAGAATGAAGGTGAAGTGGGACTTCTTGCCTAATCGATCATGAATCCATTCATTACAAAAAAACGAATATATTCTAAAGGTAAAATAATGTTGGACATACAGTTCATCAGAACAATCGCAGTCTCAATTCAGATTTATGGAAGACTTTGCATACAGACACCATGCCAATAAATGAAAGAATAATCATAAATAGGCTAGCTACCTGCCAGAAGTTCCTCTGCATAATTTTAATGATGTGGAACAGTAGAATGCCAGACAATGAACTCTGGCTCTCACTGTCTTGTTAGTCCCCTGTTAGGAGACAGAGGATCAAGTTTTAGTAAATCCAAATATATGTATTCTCTAGTAAGTGTCCACAAAAACAGTGCAGTCTATTATAAAAGGTGTAAATTCCTCCCAGTTTTTTACAGACAAAAATATTAAGGATTTTTATCACAGAAGCATCTTTTAAATTTTGTTTCACTCTTAGATTTCGACAAGTTATTAGTTATAAACAGCTGTGGAAGTCACATCACAAAGTGAATATTGCTGCTGCAAACTAATTTGTATAAATTAGCACTGAGCTTATTGGCCTTGCAAATGTTTATGTTATTAGAGTTAATAACTTGGATACTGATATGTTACACTATCTTAAACTACAGGGAATCCTTTCCCTGTTATGCACTCAAAGCAGTACTCCTCTACTAATACATCATTCTGACCTGCTGAGGGTACCAAAAACAGGGTGTTCAATTACAAAGCCAGTGATCCCAAGCCAAACACCTCGCTTTCACTGTCACGAATATTACAGAAGTCAGATGGTCTACCACATATTCTGGCTAACTCACATACTACAGTGGATAGAGTAAACTAGACACCAGCTATTCATTACGAACAGAGAACCAATGAACATATTGACATATCTGGTAGACAATTCAGTTGATGGTCTGGCTGCTAGTTCTTTAACTGCAGTGAGATAAACAAGGAAAATGTAGGTTCAAAACTGGATGGGGAAAGTGTGAAATAGTCCTTGATAAATGCTAGAGTTTACTGGAAGTGTGAAAGTTTGTTGGCTATGTTCCTAGTGGTCATCAGAGCACCAGTGCAGAAATGTTATTACAACAATTTAATTTAATTAACCCTTTGAGGGTTTTGGTCGTACTAGTACGTCTTACGCGTAGGGGTTTTTGACGTACTAGTACGCATAAATTCTAGCGGCCTCAAATCTAGTGGGAGAAAGCTGGTAGGCCTTCATATGAAAGAATGGGTCTATGTGGTCAGTGTGCACAGTCTAAAAAAAATCCTGCAGCACACAGTGCATAATGAGAAAAAAAAAACTTTTACCATTTTTTTGGAATAAATCAGCAACTTTGCAGTGTATTTTCATATGGTATTTATTGTTGTATTCTAGTTTTCTTGGTCTCATTTTATAGAATGGAAGACATATTACAGAAATTGAGATGATTTTGACTGGTTTTACAATGAAAGGTGCCTTGAAATTGAGCTCAAAGTAGCAGAAATGTTCGATTTTTACCAAACTTCAAAAGTAAACAAATCGTGCCAAGCGTGCAATACACGTCAACTGGTGAGTCTAATATTCTTTCACAAGTGCACCAATAATATTTATACCATTTTTTACACTAATGCAGTAGTCTGCATAACAGTAAATCTTATATTTTTTGTGAGAATAAAAATTCAAAGTGGAAAGCAAAAGAATATAAGAGGGGCCTTGAGACGTGACTAATGACTAGAGGAAATGTCATTTTAGTGCCAGGAATGTCTTTCTTGTTTATTCTGGACCCTATTCGGAAATTGGCATCTTTGAAATTTGTGTGAAATTGGCAAAATTGCTAAATTCTGACCACTGTACTGGATAGTTGAATTTCATAAATGGGTGGTTTCTTGCACCCATTCGATAGAAAAAATGGAGTTCTAGCGAAATATTCATGTTTTTTGTCGACTAGTACAGTGAAATTGGCCGAAAATGGGGCTCAAAGTGGGCAAAATCGCCGATGCGTAAACATCGCCGAGACCACTAACTTTGCGAGAGCATAATTCCGTAAGTTTTCTATCAAATTTCAAACTTTTGGTGTCTTTATGATCGGGAAAAGATTCTCTATCTTTTCATAAGAGAATTTTTTTTTTTTTTTTTTTAAATTTGGCTGACCCTGAGAACGAGTTTCGGAGAGGGCCTGTCGACCCTCAAAGGGTTAAAACCTATTTGCATAAGCAGTAGTGGTCTGATCTCTTGTATACTGTATACAGTCTGTATATAGTTTCACATGAACAATGGATGAATAAAAAATATAAATGGGAGTGTCCATATTTTTGCAAGCTAGGGTATATTTCATTTCATTCTGCTTATTAAAATTTGTGATTATTATAGTCACAGAAAATGCTAAACTCATTTGGTTATTCAGTGTCTATAGAAAGGTGTGGCTGATGTTAGAGACAAAAGTGTTGAAAGTGTGAGAATACACATAATAAGGAAATCATAGTTGTTGCAGTAAATCAGATTTAGTTAAAAAGTTATAGGGTATCTCAACTAATGAAGACATTCAGAGAGAGATCATATTAAGCATGAAGATTGAGACATTTATGCAACATATGGGAATCTTTATTGAAGACACATTTTGCCACACAGTGGCTTCATCAGTCCAATACAAAGCAGAAAGGTGTAAGGAGAGGAAGAGTTTGAGGTAATCAGTCCCTCAGCCTGGAATCGATGTGTTCAGTCCATCACTCTAGTAGACATTTGTCAGACACTACTACATCATGGGATCTTGATACAAGGAATTCTTCAACACTTGTTCAACATTTGGACAAAGACCTACTTACACTAGTGGATGTTTCCACTGTGATCCCGCCTCCTCCTGCTTTGACTCACCTGACTACAGTATACAGTGGAATCTCAGTTTTCATGATTAATTCGTTCCAGAAAGTCTGACGAAAATCGAATTCAATCAAAACTGAACCAATATTTCCCACAAGAAATAATGTAAATCTAATTAATCCATTCCAGACACCCAAAAGTATTAACAAAAAATACATTTAATAGAGAATAACTATATTTTTACATACAGAAAACAAAGAGAAATAAATATAAAGGACTAATGAAATGGATAAATGATCATTTAATATAACTTTCACCTTTATTAAAGACTCTTGTTGGCACATGGAAGACAGCAAGGAGGGGAGAGGGAGGAGAGGTTATTGCCTGGAAGGGAAATCCCCTTCCATAAAGACCTCAGGTATCAAGTCCCTATCCGGGGTTACTTCCCTTCTTTGTCTTTTACTGGCACTAGAACCAGCTTGAGTCACTGGACCCCTGTTGCACAAAAAATCTGTCCAGAGAGTTCTGTTTCTGGCATCTCTTTAAGATTTGCCTAAAATGGGACAAGGCATTGCCATTGAACATGTTGCAGACATGGCTTGTAACAGCTTTGTGAGGGTGATATTTCTCCACAAAACTTTGCAATTCACTTCACTCTGCACACACATCCTTAATCACTGAAGAAGGCACATTCTCCCCTCTCTCTTCCTCCTCTGAAGCAATTTCCTCAGCTGCGATCTGTTGCTGTTCCAGTTGAAGGTGTTGCAGCTCTTCAGTGGTTAGCTCTTCCCTGTGGTCATCCACCAGCTCTTCCACATCCTGGCCACTCACATCCAACCCCATGAACTTCCCCAAAGCCACAGTAGATCCCACAATAGGCATAAGGTCGTCAGGGTCAGCCTCAAACCCTTCAAAATCCTTCTCTTGAGCACATTCTGGCCACAATTTTCTCCAAGCAGAGTTCAAAGTCCTGGAAGTCACTCCCTGCCAAGTCTTACCTATAAGGTTTATGCAGTTGTAGATGTTGAAGTGATTCCTCCATAACTCTCTTAGGGTCAATTCTGTCCGGGGTCACTTCAAAGCACCTTTGAAACAGTGCTTTGGCGTAGAGCTTTTTGAAGTCTGAAATGACCTGCTGGTCCATGGGCTGGCTGAGAGGAGTGGTGTTAGGAGACAAGAACTTCACTGTTACAAAACTGAAATCCCTAGACAATTGGTCTACCAAGTTTGGAGGATGAGCAGGAGCATTGTCCAGTACCAGGAGGCACTTGAGTGGCAATTTATTTTCCAGGAGGTATTTCTTCACACTCGAGCCAAATGAAAATTTGCCTCGTGACCCATGCCTTATTGTTAGCCTTCCACATCACACACAATTTACTCTTGATGACATTGTTTTTCTTGAACACTTAGGGATTTTCAAAGTGATACGCCAGTAAAGGCTTCACTTTGAAATCCTCATTAGCGTTACCACAGAACAAAAGAGTTAGCCTATTCTTCATAGGCTTGTGTCCTGGCAGTGGCTTTTCCTACTGCATGATGTAGGTATTCTTTGGCATTTTTTTCCAAAAGAGGCCTGTTTTGTCACAACTGAATACTTGTTGGGGGAGGAATCCTTTAGCCTCTATATACTCCTTGAATTCATCAACGAATTCTTTGGCTGCTCTTTTGTCCAAATTTGCACCCTCACCATGCCTTAGCACAGTGTATGCCAGATCGCTTCTTCAAGTTGTCGAACCAGCCTCTGCTGGCCTTAAATTCCCTAACAGCAGCACTCGTTCCACGCATTATCTTTACGAGATCCGCATGAACTGTTTTGCCTTTTCGCAAATTATCACCATGAGGCCTGGTCACAGACCGGCCATGGGGGCGTTGACCCCCGGAGCTCTCTCTCCAGGTAAACTCCACAACACCATCTCACTCTAACTGTTTTTTGTTGATCCACACCAACAAAACTTCTCAACCTCTTCGATTGTTTGCGATCTCCGTTTCGTTAGCACATTTACCCCTTTCACAACTTCAGATTCCTTGATTTCTTTTTTCTTCACCAGGATGGAACTGATCGTTGATGAGGACTTCTTGTACATCCTGGTGAGATCGACCACACGTATGTCACTTTCATACTTTGCTACCAGTTCTTTCTTGAATTCTATCGTGTTTCTCGCTTTCTTTATCAAAGGGCTGGCACTTGGAACATTCTTTGACCCCATGGTGGCTTATTTAGCAGTCGCACTCATTAAACAAGCACAAAAAACAATGGATTACATATTAAAAAATGTTTCGTATGAACATGCAGGGTAATGTTCACTCGAGAAACAAAGCCAGACTGACTCAGAATATGTGAGTGGGATGCATTGTGTGGGTGTAGCCAGGCAGACACGTTCGGTATGGCGGATGAAAACCGAGGTGATGAACGAAAACTGGGACAAAATTTTGATGAAAATAAGTCGTCAAAAACTGAATTTGACGAAAACCAGGGTAA